CGAGGCTCCGTCTCAAATAATAACAATTATTATACTAAAAAAAAAAAAAAAAAAAAAAAAAAGAAACACCTAGCACTTGTGATCATTGAAGTCAGAAAATATGAGTTGCCTTCCGCTCTGGCACTCTGTTGTCAGGGGAGCCCACCATCCATCAGCCAGCACTGGGAAAAGTACAGTCGCACGTGTAGAGGAGGTGGGGGGCTACTCTCCTCATCTTCCAGGTTTTCCAGGAGTGGGTATGGGGATCCAGAAGGTAGCTCAGGAGTCAGCAGGTGACAGAGGTGTTGGGCATTCTCCACTCACTCCAGTCCCTGCATTGAGGGGAAGGAGCAGAGATGATATCTGCTCACAAGTTAGACCCTGGTTTCTCTCAATGGGTAATGTGGACAGGGGAGTGGGGCAGGCAAGCAGCAAAGGATGTAGGAGCAAGGAGAAAAATTCCAGGCTCCTCCCTTCCAAAGTCGCCCAGCCTTGAGATCATTGCGGATGCAACAGGTGCAAACAGAAGAACACTTTGGGACCTTGGAATGCGGGAGGCCGGCTCAGTGTTCCTTCCACCCTGTGAGACACGTGTGATATTCTTAAGGTCCACTAAAGGCTCAGGGTGGTTGGAGGCCAGAGAATGGCCTGGGAGATACAGGGATTGGAAGGGTAGGTGGCCTGTGGGTGTCTCCTCTGGGGGGAGACCCCCCAGGTGGAGGGGGTTCTTCCTCTCCAGATGTAGCTCAGCACAGGGACAATAACAGTAATGGGGGCATGTGTGTAAGGAATACTTTCCCAGGTCCCCTCTTCATAGGTGTTTGCAGCAGCATCTCACAACAGCCCTAAGAGGTTAAATGTTGCAAATCCCATTCTACAGAGGTGGAAATTGAGCCTCAGAGAAGTTAAGTCACTTGCCCCAGGTCTCATAGCTCCCCATTGGCAGTGCTGGGATTCAGAGCCAGCTCTCTCGCCTCCATCCATCAGTAGACCCGGCCAGTTCCCAGCCATTTGGAGAAGTGCCCTACTCAGACTCATTCCACCTCAGCAAGCCTGGCGGTGCTGTGACATCCATCCACCTAAGTCCTCATCAAGCCCTTTAGCTCCACAACCCAAAAGGTCTATGAGGTATCCTGAAGCAAAAGACAGGCAGGACAGTTCTGCTCCCACCCCGGAGAGCTTTCAATGTACAGGGCTGTCTCTCTCTATAGGACTCTGATCTCCTCTCCTTCCTGTTTTGCCAGGTGTCGAGACATCTCCCATGGGTTTGTGATCAGTGTTGCAGCTCTCCCAGCAGCCCTGGACAGTGGTGAGTTCCCTCAGCTGGCTGGGACAGTACTCTGCTCTCACCTCTGCTTCTCTGGCTCCATGCCACCTCCACCTCAACTGGTCTCCTTGTGAACCCACAGGGCTCCAGGACACGCTCCCTCTGGAGCCCATGCTGCCTTCAGCACTTCACCCCCCACCAGTGATGGCAACAGTTGGTGTTCTTTGTGCACTTTATTTACTTGGTTATTTTTAACGACAAAAGTTTTCTTTTCTTTTTTTTTTTTTTTTTTTTTTTGAGACAGAGTCTTGCTCTCTTGCCCTGGCTGGAGTGCAGTGGTGCTATCTTGGCTCACTGCTAGCTCTGCCTCCCAGGTTCATGCCATTCTTCTGCCTCAGCCTCCCAAGTAGCTAGGACTACAGGCGCCCCCCACCACACCCAGCTAATTTTTTGTATTTTTAGCAGAGACGGGGATTCACCATGTTAGCCAGGATGGTCTCCATCTCCTGACCTCGTGATCCACCCTCCTCGGCCTCCCAAAGTGCTGGGATCACAGGCATGAGCCACCGCGCCCGGCCGACAAAAGTTTTATACCTGCCTGTTAAAAAAGTTATATAGTGCAGAAGCACACCACGTAAAAGGTGCAATCCTCAGTTATGGGCATGACTACATATTCCCTTCTCCCATCTTCATTATAATAACCCCCCAATCCCCCCAAATCCTGTGAGCCAGGTACCAGAATTATCCCTCTTTTACACACGGGTAAAGTGATCGGTCACAGAGAGATTTAAGTGATCTTCATAAGCAAGATCATAGGCCAGGAAGTGGCAGAGCCAGGATTCAACCTCCACAAGCCTGGTGGTGCTCTGACATCCCCGGAAGCCCCCATCAAGCCCTTTTAGCTCAGCAACCTAAAAGGGCCTCTCTAAGAGGTATCCTGAAGCAAAAGACAGAAGTTCTCTTTGAAACATAATATTTTTCTCTACAGATAGATAGCCTATAGGTATGTAAGTAGGAGGGTGGGTAGGTAGACAATTTGAGGGTATCCCACATTTGTCTGCAACTGGACTTCTGAGCATAGACTATATTCTGGGCTATATCTTGACTCCATATTCCTGGGAAAGTGCTCGACTGAGACCTTGGGAGTCTTGGGAAGTCCAATGGGTGGGGTAGTCAAATCCAAGGGCTGCTCCCTGAGGGCACTGGGCAGTAATTGGGGCGTGGGATGGGCGTGAGGGCCCTGGTCCCTAAAGTTGCCCACTCTGCCCGCCCGAAGGCCTCCAGCCGCCAGCATGCGGCTGCCACGCTTCTCCAGCAGGACAGTGACCGTGCTCCTCCTGGCACAGACCACCTGCCTCCTGCTCTTCGTCGTCTCCCGGCCAGGGCCTTCATCCCCAGCGGGCGGCGAGGAGCGCGTGCACGTGCTGGTGCTGTCCTCGTGGCGCTCAGGCTCGTCCTTCGTGGGCCAGCTCTTCAGCCAGCACCCCGACGTCTTCTACCTGATGGAGCCCGCGTGGCACGTGTGGACCACCCTGTCGCAAGGCAGCGCCGCAACGCTGCACATGGCCGTGCGCGACCTGATGCGCTCCGTCTTCCTGTGCGACATGGACGTGTTTGATGCCTACATGCCACAGAGCCGAAACCTGTCCGCCTTTTTCAATTGGGCAACGAGCCGCGCGCTGTGCTCGCCGCCCGCCTGCAACGCCTTTCCCCGAGGCGCTATCAGCAAGGAGAACATGTGCAAGACACTGTGCACGCGGCAGCCCTTCAGCCTGGCCCGGGAGGCCTGCCGCTCCTACAGCCACGTGGTGCTCAAGGAGGTGCGCTTCTTCAACCTGCAGGTGCTCTACCCGCTGCTCAGAGACCCCGCACTCAACCTGCGCATCGTGCACCTGGTGCGCGACCCGCGGGCCGTGCTGCGCTCCCGGGAGGCGACGGGCCCACTACTGGCACGCGACAACGGCATCGTGCTGGGCACCAACGGCAGGTGGGTGGAGGCCGACCCTCAGCTGCGCCTGATGCGTGAGGTGTGTCGCAGCCATGTGCGCATCGCGGAGGCCGCCGCACGCAAGCCGCCACCCTTCTTGCGCGGCCGCTACCGCCTGGTGCGCTTCGAGGACCTGGCTCGGGAGCCGCTGGCAGAGATCAGAGCACTCTACGCCTTCACCGGGCTGACCCTCACGCCCCAGCTCAAGACCTGGATCCACAACATCACCCACGGGTTGGGGATCGGCAAGCCAATCGAGGCCTTCCACACTTCGTCTAGGAATGCGCGCAACGTCTCCCAGGCCTGGCGCCACGCGCTGCCCTTCACCAAGATCCTGCGCGTGCAGGAGGTGTGCGCCGACGCGCTGCAGCTGCTGGGCTACCGGCCTGTGTACTCTGAGGACCAGCAGCGTGACCTCACCCTGGATCTGGTGCTGCCACGAAGCCCAGACCACTTAAGCTGGGCGTCACATGACTGAGAACTCTGGGCCTTAGAGCAGGCCTCGAATTGTGGTTGCCAGGCCCAGGAGGCGACTGCACGGTGGAGAGGGAGCTGGGATGCATGGGGAAGCAGGTCCCTACTTTGAACTGGGAGTTTGGGGTCCTCCCCTGAGGTAGGCAAGGACTGCACGTTTCTTTTTCTCCTGATTCTCGGTTTTCCTTTGAGTCCTCTGGAGCTGCCTTCTCATCAGGTGCACTCTTCATGGAAAGCAACACTTGCCCCCACCTCCTCTGAGCACAGGGAGTAAGTTCTGCTAAATTAAATTAAATGTGTTCCAGGTCGGGCGCGGTGGCTCACACCTGTAATCCTAGCATTTTGAGAGACTGAGAAGGGTGTGGATCAGCTGAGGTCAGGAGTTCGAGACCAGCCTGACCAACATAGTGAAACCCCCTCTCTACTAAAAATGCAAAAATTAGCCAGGCATACTGGCACACTCCTATAATCCCAGCTACTTGGGAGGCTGAGGTGGGAGAATCACTTGGACTCCGGAGGTGGAGGTTACAGTGAGCTGAGATCGTGCCACTGCACCCCAGCTTGGGCAACAGAGCAAGACTCTATCAAATAAATAAATAAATAAATTTGTTCAAAAATCCTGCAATCTAGTGAATTGTAACCTCATTTTTTTCTCTTTTTATTGTGTGATTCCATTTATTTAAAGCAGAAAAACTAGTCTAGGTGATAGAGGTCAGAATAGGGGATACTTTGTAGGGAGGATTTGACTGGGATGTAACCTTATTTAATATGTAAACAAACTACAACCTGACCAGAGTATATTCTTGTAAGGAAAAAGGAGTCTCCTCCAGCCTTAGCAGCCAGCTTTCAGCCAGGGGCAGACCGCAAACTGACCGGATGTGTCCAAATTAGACAAAGGCTGAGCTGTCACCAATCGGCCTATATCCAGTGCCACTTCCTTTTTTCTGTTTATAAATGCTGCTTGTCCACTGTTGCTGAGTGGAGGTCTCTGAGACCTCTCAAATATAGATCTCTCATTTAACGGGGTGAATTTGGGCTTTAATCGCCATCATCCCCAGAACAAAGACTGACTAATTAGACTCAAATGCTGTTGAACTATCTTTATTGCGTGGACTTTGAGTTATTTGACTAGTTGTTTGTAGAAACTCCTGATAAGGAGTGTACTTCTGTTTCTTGGCATTGTCCACTCATAGTCATCATAATAGTCTCCCTGGCCGGGCGCAGTGACTCACGCCTATAATCCCAGCACTTTGAGAGGACTAGACAGGCAGATTGCTTGAGCTCGGGAGTTTGAGACCAGCCTGGCCAACATAGTGAAACCCTGTCTCTCCTAAAAATCCAAAAAATAGCTGCTGTGGTTGTGCATGCCAGTAATCCCAGCGACTCAGGAGGTTGAGGCAGGAGAATCGCTTGAACCCAAGAGGTGGAGGTTGCAGTGAGCCAAGATTGCGCCACTGCACTGCAGCCGGGGTGACAGAGCAAGACTTCATCTTAAATAATAATAATAATAGGCCAGGAGCGGTGGCTCAAGCCTGTAATCCCAGCACTTTGGAAGACCGAGGCAGATGGATCACTTGAGGTCAGGAGTTCAAGACCAGTCTAGCCAACATGGTGAAACCCCATCTCTACTAAAATACAAAAATTAGCCAGTGTGGTTGTGCATGCCTGTAATCCCAGCTACTCAAGAAGTTGAGGCAGGAGAATTGCTGGAACTGAGGAGGTGGAGGTTGCATTGAGCCAAGATTGCGCCACTGCACTCCAGCCTGGGTAACAGAGTGAGACTCCCTCTCAAAAATAATAATAAAAAACAATAATAATAGTCTGTCTGATGTGTTGCTTCCCCTGAGAAGTCTTACATACTCCTATGCAGCCATCCTTTATACATCAACTGGCCTATTAGGGCTCGAATAACAAAAACATGAAGAAAGCATAAAGAATCATCCAATTAAGGTGAAATCATGAATTGTGAAGTCAATACTGAAACAAAACAAGTCTATTATGATGGTGACAGAAAATGGAGTCAGGGCCCAAGGTTTTGGTCAATCTCTCAAAATTGAGAGGCTGACCAAAAGGCAGAAATGTTTAAATTCAATTAAATTTGTCCCAAAGTTCCCAGCACTTTGGGAGGCCGAGGTGGATGGATCACGAGGTCGAGATCGAGACCATCTTGGCCAACATGGTGAAACCCCGTCTCTACTAAAATACAAAAAAGTAGCCAGGCATCGTGGCATACGCCTATAATCCCAGCTACTCGTGAGGCTGAGGCATAGAAATTGCTTGAACCCAGGAGGCAGAGGTTGCAGTGAGCTGAGATTGCACACTGCACTCCAGCCTGGTGACAGAGCAAGACTCCGTCTCAAAAAAATAATAATAATAATTTGGCCCAAAGCTGCTGCCATACCTGTTGAACTGCAATCTAACTTAGTATTTAAGTAAACTGCCTCCCAACTGAGACTATATTCTTGTAACAAATAGCTGAATCTCAGCAAGTCACAGCAGCTGTGCTTTAACCAGTCACAGGCTACCAACTGATTAGACCAAGTCTGTGTAAGGTAAATGCTGAGCTGCACCCCATCAGACTGTTTATTTGTGCTACTTCCAATAAATTTGGCCTACCAGTGTTGCTGAGTGGAATCAGGGTGCTGCCCGATTCATAAATTTTCTTTGCTCAAATAAAGTCTGCTTAATTTGACTAATGTTTTTCTATTAACAGTTCAGATGACTTGGCCTCTACCCAAACTCTTTCTTTCCCCTAGACTCCCCTCTCTTGGAATGCATCCTGAAGCAGCTGAAAAGGGGTGCCCTAGGCCCAGCTGGGAGCAAAATCTGGTGATATTGCTTCTGAATATCCCACATGTGCCCCCCCCACCCACACACACACACACACTCACATGCATACACAGCCTGGACTCTGTTCCCTTTATGCCCCTGGCACCACGCTCCATCAAAGCCATTGGCCTTTATATCCCCCTGTGTCTTCACTGAGAAAGAGGTATATCAGGCCAGACGTGGTGGCTCTTGCCTATAATTATCAATTACCGAGTCTCTGGTATTCTGTTACAGCAGCACAAAAGGGACTAAAATAGGCTCCTTAACAAAAAGATTCACAGACAAGAAGTTTGTTTGTTTTGAGACAGTGTCTTGCTTTGTGGCCCAAGCTGGAGTGCAGTGGTTCCATCTTGGTTCACTGCAACCCCCACCTCCCTGACTCAAGCGATTCGCTCATCTTTTTTTTTTTTTTTTTTTTTTTTGAGACGGAGTCTTGCTTTGTCACCCAGGCTGGAGTGCAGTGGCCGGATCTCAGCTTACAGCAAGCTCTGCCTCTCGGGTTTACGCCATTCTCCTGCCTCAGCCTCCTGAGTAGCTGGGACTACAGGTGCCTGCCACCTCGCCTGGCTAGTTTTTTGTATTTTTTTAGTAGAGATGGGGTTTCACCATGTCAGCCAGGCTATTCACTCATCTTAACCTCCCAAGTAGCTGGGACTACAGGCACATCACTATGCCAGGCTAATTTTTGTATTTTGGGGGACTACATGTGTTTCGGTATGTAGCCCAGGTTGATCTGCAACTCCTGTGCTCAAGCTATCCACCTGCCTCAGCCTTCCAAAGTGCTGGGATTACAGGCATGAGCCACTGTGCCTGCCCAAGAACAGTTCATTAACACATGCAGCATACATCACGCAGGACAAACCTAAATGAAAAGTAACAACACAGTGGCTCAGAACACTGCCTTACACAGCATCTTCCAAAGGACACAATAAATTTGTAGAGAAATAACAGGACAAAAGAAAGTTTTAGGCCTCCAAAGGTGAGAAACTGTGCAAAGGTAAATATCTGAGAGGAAGCTGATGCAGCAGGATTTGTCTGCAGCAGCCTCTGGTACCGCCTCTGGCTGGGCAGAGTTAAGGGTTGTCTCCAGTGAAGGAGAGTTTATGTCATGCCTTTAGGCAGAAAAGGGAGGGAAACCTGACCTTTTCCTGTATTTTCTGCTTCTTAATTGCCTTCAGCTGAAAATCATTTTTATGTGTCAGAGGCATAATCTGGGCCGATGCCTCTGCTTTCCTCCACCTGAAGAGAACCTGCGTGGGCTCCTTTGCTTTGGACCTCTGCCTCCGCCACGGAGAAAGGCCAGGCCAGGCTGCTGGACAAGCAGGGACCGTGAGAAGGGGAGTTCAGGTGTCCCAATCCAGGCAATCCTAGACCAGCCAGCCCCTCACCAGCCCCCGCTGATCAGCACACAGCCACTTCTGCTGCCTTCTGCTGCTGCCGCCAAAGCGAGTCCAGGGTTCACCCAGATTCAGAGGTGGGGAAACTGAGTCCATCGCTTGAGAGGAGTAGCTATAAAGACATATGAGCGAGAGCAGCTGAGCCCAGCTGAGCCCAGCACTGCCGGCCAAGTCGAAGACTTTAGGACCAGCCACACGTGTTCGGTGGCCACACGTGGCCAGTGGCTCCATGTTGGACAATGCCAATCAGACTCCTCATTCTCATTACGTTTGTATACCCTTCTGGCCCTGAAATCTTTCTATATCTGCATCTGAGTAAGATGGTCTATTAGAGAAGAACATCTACTTCATATTTCCATCCTTTGGAAACTGGAAGAGCCAGCAGAAGTTTTGACTTTGCAGTTGATCCTACACATTCAAATTCCTAGCGTCTATAGATTGTGTAAGATGGAAGAGAGACTACAAGGGCTCCCATTACCTAGCCCAGAGTATGTGCTCAGGGCTCTCGACACTCCTCCTGGTTACACATGGTTCAGATACTATTGGCCACTTCTTAACATTAGTTTCTCATGGCTTGATTCCTAGGAAGCATTATTCCTCCCATTTTAAGAGGGCAGTCAGTTGAGTGATTCAATGAGTCAGGCCCAGTATCAGGCCCCAGGGACACAGCAAGGGGCACAGTACACATAGCCCTTGCTCTTGTCTGGGGTGCAGACACTAAACAAATAGTCAAACAGATTAAACATGCAATTATAGGTTTGAATTATGCTCTAAGAAAAAACAAAGCCGGGGACAGTGACTCACACCTGCAATCCCAGCACTTCAGGAGGCTGACAGAGGAGGATCACTTGAGGACATGAGTTCAAGATCACCCAGGCAAATGACTCTTGTGGGATACCGCTGTCAGGCT